TTGGCAGGGATCAAGTGAAGTAAAACAATAGATTAATTAGCTTCGGTGGCTCAGATGGCCTGTGCGGGGGGAGAAGAAAGATCGGGTGATCCTTTCACCCTTCAGGGACCTGTAAGAAGGAGGAGCCCTGTGCAACACAGCTGTCCAGCCTTCCTGTGGGAAGATGAATGCTTTTGAAGATCCGACCTGGGCTAGTAACTGTCTCTTGTTTAAACCAAGGCTAGCAAGGAAGGCTGGAAGGCTTCAGTGACTTGATGTGTGGGCTGTCCTGCCCTGTGCGTAGCTGCTGTGTTGTTTCTGCATACCTCTCTGTGCCTTGGGGCTCAGTTGCAGTTTCCTGATTATAGAATAGGTCCACCTTTGTTTACCCAAAGTAATTCATCCCAGTCCTGTAAATTTCCTTTGACCGTCAGTTTTTTGAATCCTTTGCACATGTCTTTGTCTACCTCCTGATTGTTATGCTCTTGATCCTTGTCTGTCGGGAGGAATGTATTGATTTTTTTTTAATGTTTTCTGTTAGAGAAGTGGGGGGATGTGTTCTTATTATGCCATTATTTCTGTTATTTATTTCTTCCTCTACCACTTTTAAAGTTACTTTTGTCACCTTGTAATCGCGAGGTGCCTTATGTGACCAAGAATGAAAATGGTCTTGGCTCTCCACACCCTGTGCCCTGAAGTCCTGCTGGGAGAGGACTGCCGGTTTGCAGCTTGAACAGCTGATGATTTGAGGGACGCCAGAGAAACAGAATTGCGCTGATCAAATGTAGATGGAGTCTCGTACTTGGGTGTCCGTGAGCATTTTGTTTGACTGTTGCCTCTGCTAGATGCCAAAGGCCACGTGGGCTGTATGTGCGGTTGTCTGTAGGTCCTTTTGGGACTGCAAGCCCAGTGTGTGTGTGCCTGATAAATTTTGTGCTGTTCTTGTTCTACAGCAGCTCTGATCGTAAGTCTCTTGTGTCACCCTTGGCCTGCCCTTGCACCCTTACAGCACAGCTGATAAGGAGATCCTAATGGAAGCTCTTCTGGTGCACTTCTGATACAGAAGTGATTCAGGTGCTCTGCAGGGGAAATTTAATCTGAATCTGTATGCGGAACATGCCAAGGTAGTGTGGTCATTGGGCACTCTGTTCACGAAACCTCCCAAGCTTGCTGGAGAGCAGGGAGGAACACCGCTACTGTGAACTGAAAGATGCCCATAGCAAATCTGCTTGTTGTGGTTGCTCTTTGCAGACACACTGTGATTGTGGACAACGGGTTGAAATCCCTGTTGCGTGACGGTGCAGCACTTAAATTTTAGTCTCGCAATTGTTTTCTGTGGCGAGACGAAGGATGTTTGTGCCTGCAGTTCCCCTTAGCGCTGGTGGCGTAAAGATAGCACACTCAGGAGAAGCTGTGATGAGAGGACCCCCAGCTTCTTCTCACTGGCCAAATAATCTTATTGTCTGCCCAAATGCAAAATATACTTGTTCTGGATGAATATAGGACCTTCATCCAGGTGGAAATTATCAGGAAAATTTTCCGTTTCTGATGTTGTCACACTTTCAGGAAAGACTTTCTTCTTTCAGATTGAAGTATGTCTGGAGAGACAAAGTATTTTTCACATCCACTTGGAAATCTACATGAAGCAAAAAATACTTCAGATTTTGCCCGTGTTTGGGCAGAACCCAGAAGTTGGGGAAAAACCTTTGGTGAATGAAGGGAGAAAATGCGATGTCAGTGGGGATTTTTTTTTATTTTTGGCGTGACTTGGGGTTGGGTGTTTTGGGTTGGTGTTGAGTTGTTTTTGTTGTTTTTGATTTTTTTAGACATTACTTCTTCCTGGAAATCTGTTTATCATACTCTTCAGTGTGTTCAGTTTGCAGCTGCTTGTTCCCTAACTCACTTGTATTTTCCAGCTAAGACTGACCGAGTTCCCTGGTGAAAAGGGGGTGAAAAGTGTGTTACCGCTGCTTTTGTGTGAGCACACAAAAAGCTCCCTATGCAGGGCATTTATTTCCTGAAATAGCTTTTCTGCAGAGGAGCAACAGTTTAATTTAGCTAAATTGCTCATGAAAGAATTACCTGATAATTTTACAACGCCTGTACATCAGTATGTTGTCTTAGATTTATCACCAGAAGATGAGCTGTTTGTTGGGGGATAGAGGTTTTGCCCTGGTTGCATTTTAAGTAGACACCTCCCTGGAGATGAGGTTTAAATGTCACGTTACCGATTAGCATTTGGCATGGGGTGCCAGAGCAAAGGAAGGTATGTCTCAGCTCAGTCTCTGAAGAAGAGAAAACTAACATAATTCCTGAACTCTGACAGCATTACTCAGACTATGTTATCTCCATTGTTTTTGCTCCTGGTTCCAGCTCACGGCTGTGTCATGCTAAGTGCTTTGGCAGCCCAGGCATCTGAAGAGCCTATGTTTTGATGTGTCCTGGTTGTGCCTGGAGGAGTTCAGACCTCACTCTGGTGCCTTTCTAAACAGCTGGGCTTTCTCTGTAGGACTGGAATGCTGGCGTATGCGTAAGTGCCCCAGGAGAGCTCTGTTTGGCTGCAGCCCCAGGCAGAACAGCTTGCTGGAAAGCTTGCTGCCTGAGTGCTCACCCGTGTTACATTTCTCAGTGGGAGGGTGGTGATGGCAGAGTCACCTCTCGGTATAAGGCAAGAAGAAACTGCAGGATTGTGTTCACTCTGAGCAACCACCCAAACAAGACAAAAAGTTTTAAGGCAAAGACACGCTTTCCTCATTGAAGAGAGCTAGATTGTATCCTGACTGCTCAGCGACTGAATGTCAGCTACCCTTCAGTGATCTCTCCTCCCCTTCACTTCCACAAACCTGTTCCAGCAATGGAAGTAGGCAGTAGGTGCTAACGTGGGGGTGGCAGTGGAAAGCTGGTTTTGAGAAAGGAGAGCTGTGATCCGTTGTGATGAGCCCAAGCAAAATGATGTGTGTGGTTTTTTTTCCAAAGTTGTGGGGTTTGCGTGTGTATTTAGCTGACCTTACAGCATTTGACAGTGGATTGCTCTGCAGACCGTGGCTTTAGCAAATGTCTGCTGGGCCCCTCTCAAAGGCCACAACTGTAGGCAGACTTTGGGTTGCTTGTTACTGCTTGTGTGCTCAGGACCTCTGCTGCCACCTCTATTTGCTGCTCTCCGTGGGGCAGAGGTGGGTCAGTCCAAGGCTTTGGTACTCGGTAGTGTTCTTCTAAAGCCCCTGTTTTGTACTGTTTCCTCTGCCAGTCCTTTGCTGTTTCTGCTTTCCTTAATACTTTAGGAAACTGGGCTTGAGGTATGGAAATGTCACTAGAAGCCTTGCTGTCTTTCTTCACCTCTTCATTGTCAGGTTTGCCATGGGAAGTATTAAAATCTGTTGAACCTGTTGACGTGGGCTTGTTGCAGCCAGAGCTGGCCGGCAGTGTCTTAGCAGTATATATATATGTGTTGTTTTTTTTTTTTTCTCCTCTTGGAAAATGGCAGTTCCTTTAGCTTGTCAAGAAAAGTGCACCAGTTTTGGTGGTAGAAGTTCCGGAAGTCCACAGTCTCGTTCCTAGGTGAGAGGAAACAGACAGGTACTTGTAAGTAGGCAGTAGTGTGATGGAGGCAGGTTGTGGAAGAAGAGGAGGATAGCTTGTTCCCTGTGACTACCCTAGCAATTGTGACAAAAACTGACGTGGTGCAGGATCTGGCATGTCTCCTTTTTTTACTGCACTGAAAAACTGTTCCTGAGAGCCTTGGCTTTAGCCTAGGGCTAAAAAAGCTGTTGATCTTGAAGATTTTGGTGCATGATTAAACTGTTTCCATCCCAGTTCTGTGTGTACACTCGTATGTCTTGTAGAAATGCTTAAAAAAGAGGACTTGAGGCTCTCTGTTTGGTAGTTTCAACTATCTGACAGTGCTCAAACCCTCTTAGCACTAGTGTGGACCAAGTTCAGTGTGTTGGCTCCTAAAATTACCAGGTGGGAAATTAATAATTCCATGCCTTTTGGAAAAACTGATCTCTGCTTTCAGCTGCCAGTAGTTCCCGACGCTGAGAACTGGTTGCTCACTGGCGTGCAGTGTGGTTCCCGCTCAAGACTGTGGGAAAGCAAAGGAAGTTGTCTTGCATGTGTTTTAGTTCTTGATTGCAATGATAGTTGAGGGCGTCGGTGTTTCTACCTGTAAAATGTTAATCAGCTAGATCATTAGAAGTGCACCTTTATGTATACATACATGCTTATATATAGATACACATGTGAGTGTGTGTGATAATTGTTCTGAGGCAACAAAGTATATTTGGAGAGAAATTGCTTTACTGCTGCTGTGTGATCCTTCGAGTTTTTTTTTTTTTTTTTATTTGGGTGGTTGTTGGTTTTGGTTTTTTTTAACTTGCTCCTTCCAGTCAGAATACTTAAGAGAAAATAGCAATAAAGTGTTGGGACAATTGTTCCAAACTCAGTCTGGACTCATAGAGAATGATGACGCAGATAAGAAATTTCATAATGTTTTACAACTTAGAAAGATATGCTTTCCAGGCCATGGAGAGGTATGAACCCTTTTTTGTTTGACAAGGCAGAATGACTGCTCCAGTCTGTACATGAGATTATGGGTAATTTTATCAGTCTCATTACACATAATTCCTCAAAATATGTGAAAATCTAACTGGACAAAATCTGGCTGATAGCCATTTAAATAGGAAGTACAGTCAGGGTACTTTTTGGAGACAAACATGTGATATGCATTTCTAGAGATCCTGAAATCTGTTGAATCAGCAGAAAAAAGCTCTTGTTAGAGTGTTTTAAAATGTAATCGGTGGGAAGTTTCTGTTCCCTTTTTCTAAGCTGTGCATCATCAGCTGACAGTTTGGCTGCTTCTGCTTCTCTCAAACAACTGAGGCTACATAACCCATTTAAAGTTAGTTTTGTTTAAAGAGTAAATGACCAGGTTTTCAAATACACCAAGCACACAGATTGTTCTGAAAATTGCTTCATAAAATTCCT